CTGATCCGAAGACTAACTGCCATAAGCTACATGCTATGGACTCGTTTTATACTCATAAATCATTTTTCATGAAAGAGTTGAACGCACGGCGCGTTCCGTAGGGATTATTGAGTGCCAAAAGCTTCACCACTTGACGGTGTTCACATCGATGGAGGGCGATGCGGGATTGATGACGCCAGTGAACGTCAGGGGGCTAAGCGCCAGTGGGCTAAGCGCTAGCGCGCTGAGGTTAGGCTTAGGTTTGCCTCATGACCCTTCCCCTTCCACCATTGGCGTTCAGCGACGTCACCAAAACGTACACCAGCCATAATGCTCATTGCCTTTGAAGCTGTTCCAGGCATTAACCTACAACTGATGATCCGTAGGCTTTCGGAATTCCCTCTGGATTAATAATACTTTCTGTACATTTTTCATTGTTTATTATCAATATTTAATATATTTTTTTCCAGATCGTAATCTTGGGAAAGGGCACCAAATTCAATCGGAATATAACAACAAACGAACGAGCAGCTAGTGTGACGCTGTTCCATTTGATCCCTGGTATGACGTACAAAATCCGAGTTGCAGCGCGTACCAACGCTGGTATTGGTGTTAGTCATGGCACGGATACTGTCACTATGAGTAAGTGTTCAGTTCTATTTTTTTTACTTTGATACTGGGTATTGTAAATATCTTTATTTTGCATATCATCACATGTCATTATTGCTTCATTAAACTATGATCTACTAGTAATTTTTTAGCAGTTATACATGCATTTTCCCCATTTCCGAAGAATTTACTTCTGGAATGTGAAAAAAGGCGAAACCAAATTGAAAACTCAGATCCGGCTGGTCGCATGCACCACATGGTAGCGCGCGCCCTTGGAGTACTCTCTTCCAGTGTTAACCGTCAATGTGAAGATCCAAAAAAACTTTTTACCGTTCTCTTAAGGGGTCCCGATACGACACATGAGGGGGTCCATCCCCTCACGATCCATCACCACTATCCTCATCCCCATCGTTGTTTCTGTTGTATTTGATTGTGAGACTAGATATCATTCTCCACCTCCTTCCAGAAATTTGTCTATGCCGCGGGCGAGGGCGGGGAGGAGGAAGGAGGACGGTGGTACATCTCACTGTTTGAACGAGAAATGCCCTCATTTTGCCCATTCCGTGCATTTTTCATGAAAAGTTTGGATTTCCCAGTCAAACGACCACCTCTCCCTCTACTCTTCCTCAAACCTGCAGCACGACTGATACAAAAACTCTCAAATACCCCCCATACCACCTCCTCCCCCACCGTTGATTGGCACAACGGACGGCTGATTCTGCTCTGTTTTCATACCCCACATCGACTTATCAATTTTTCCTCTCGATTCATTTTCTTTAATTAACTATTTTTTTTGTATGCTCACAGGTACAGCGAGCTGTCCTGTATAACAAGTTCC